CTTTCGGTGGGGCTCCCTACGGGGCCACGAATGTGAGGGGTGTACCGAAATTTGCTGTGGGGACGCATGCGGGCTGCGCTGCTGGGACCTTCGGTGGCGTTCTCTGTGGGGCCACGAAGAGCGTGCGGGGAGTGCCGAAATGGGTAGCGGGGGCGCATGCGAACTGTGCCGCTGGGACCTTCGGTGGAGTTCGTCCTGGGGCCACGAAGCGTGTGAGCGTGCGCCGAAAGGGGGGCGGGGGCGAATGCGGGCTGCGCCACCCTGATACTTCCAGTGGAGCTCCTTGTGAGGCCAGGAAGCGTGTGAGGGTGTGCCGACATGGGCGGCGTAGACGCATGCTGGCTGCTCCGCTGGGACCTTCGGTGGAGCTCCCCATGGGACCACAAATGTGAGGGGTGTGCCGAAATCTGTTGCGGGGACGCATGCGGGCTGCGCTGCTGGGACCTTCGGTGGAGCTCCCAATGAGGCCATGACGCGCGGAAGGGCGTGCCGAAACAGAGACATGTGGATGGCAGAGGCAGGGATGGGAGGAGGGAGGAGGAAAAAGGAAAAAACGCAGTCGCTGGGCGCTATCTCTCCAAAGCGGGGACCCCACACCACAGGATCGTTCGGAGCAACAACAAAACAAACCATTATCATCCTACGCGCTGCGCGATAAACCGCTCCAGGGGGGCTTGCTTCGGGGGGTGCTCACAGGATTGTCGCCTTGCGGCTCCTCCTGTGGTGGGCTGGGTTACACGATCCCTCTTGATGCTGGGGTAAAGCATCGGCCTATGTCGTAATTTTGGACGGCGGCGCGTTTGGCGACGCTAGTGGCATGAATCGTTGCCGTCCGCTCCAACAAAAAAAGTCAGGGTTCGGGGTGTCACGTCCCCGCGGGGCCCGAGTGATCACTGGTCGTCGGCAGGGTGCCCCGTCAAGCATTGGGCGTGGCCAGGCCTTACGTTGCCTCGGGGCGCCGCTTGCCTGCCGCTCGTTGACAGAGCGCCGCTTCGGGTGCAGGCTGCGACGCGGGCCGTTTCCAGCCGTTCCGCAGCAGGACGTCGCGAGTTGCGCAGGGCAAGGTTGTGCGCGAGGACGCCGCGAGGGTGCCACGTCCAGCCGGTGCGCAGCTACCACCTCAGCTCCCGCTTCCCGAAGCAGATGTGCGAGCACAGAAGTTTCTAGGGGATGCTTGCAGAATTCGTCTCCTTGCGGCTCCTCTCCTGGTGGGCTGGGTTGCACGATCCCCTGGAGAGTTGGGGCAAGACATCGGCCTATGGCGGTCGATTTTCTGGGGCCCCAACCAGTTCAGCCACCCCAGCTTTGCAAGCAAGGCAGCCCAGCAGCTGGCGGGTCTTTGATGGAGATGGTGGTAGTCATTTCCTCCCAGCAGATGCGCCAGAGCGATGCCTTACGCACTGCGGGACGTGCATATGCTGCATCGAGGTCAGGCGCACACAAGCGCACCCGTACACGCACGCACGCACACACGCGCGATTTGCGTGGTATTGTTGAAGGGTAGCGCGTTGTACCGTAACCTGATGCAGCGGGGCCAGTGTAACGAGTTGTTGAATGTGATTGCGCACGCACGTAGTGCGTACATACGACGTAGCTAGCACAAGAGCCAACTCACTTGCAGATGTGATCCGCAAGCTGCAGCGCAGGCGCCGACGCGACCTCCGATATTTGCACGCCTGCAAAGGCAATGACACGCGCGAGCGCGCATGCGGACGAGGACGGAACGCGCGTGCGGGTGACGTTGCAGCGGCCCCCCCATGGTCCGAGCGCGGAACCACCGTTCTCCGCCGAGGGACCGGGCGTTCGAGCGCTGCGTCATGGTGGGGGCGATGCATGGGGGGGTGAAGAAAGGTGCATGTTCTGTACCCTGAAGGACCTCTCAACGGGCTCCTGGGGCTCAAAAGGGGCACGAAAGGTGCCCGTCCCTTCGCCCGCCCGAGTATGGCCTCCGTCAAGCGGCGCCCAAGGCATGGGAGCCCCCGGGCCCAAGGTGCAGCGCGGCCGACCCCCGTCGAGAGGGGCCAGCCCGGACCCGGGGAGGCATGCGTGCACCCCGCGCCGCAGCGACACGCGGTGGGGCCAGCTGGAGCACTTCAGCCCGACGGGCCGATGCCGCCGATCTTCGGTTCGATCGAAGTTGGTACGGAACGGAATGGTGCGAATTCCGATTGCAGATCCTGCCGTTTCTTGTACGGGATTCGTGGTCGGCTGTTGCCGCGGACGCTGTCCTGTGAAGACAAGAAGTCGTCTGCTCCACAGCGGCCGCTGTCGATCTTGGACAACATCTGCCGTTGGGCATCGCACCCAGTCTCTCCGTGCTGGCTCGGGCGTGCCAAGATCTATGCGGCACCGAGCGTCCGCCCCAGCCCAGAGCTGCATAGGGCGCGCGGGGGTGGCACCAGGCAGCCGTTGGTGGGGGAGGGCCAGCAGCAAGAGGGGAAGGGACGAGGCAGAGGAGCAGGAGGAGGTCGAGTGGAGGAGGAGGGCGAGGGCGAGGAGGAGGAGGACGACGAGGAGGAGGAGCAGGGGGAGGAGGTGGGAGGTGGTCTGTCCGGGGCCTTCCTGTGGCTCCGGTGGGCTCTCCCGTGGGTTGGGTGCGGTCTTCGCGGGCAGGGGCGCCTCTGCGGCAGCTAGTAGGCGGGGGGCTTGGAGCTTGCCTCCAGGGGTTGAGGATCGAGGTCAGGGGAAGGGCTGGGTCTGTATAGGCCCAGGGGGGGCTCTTCGGCCTCTAGTGGTGCTTTCTCCCTGCGAAGTCACGCCGCCCTCGCCGCCGCGCCACGTGTCGTGCTCCCATGTGGGGTGGCCATCTCCCCAGAACCGTTGCGCGTCATGACATCTACGCGTGATGCACTCGCCCTCGTACACCCGCGCGCACGAGCGAGCGCATTGCGCGCGCGCGTCGTTAGGCTCCGTCAGATGTTGCTTAAACCGATAAATCGCATGAGGCATCGATTCGCGCGGAGACGTTGCGCGCGCAAGGGAAATGCTCTGTGCCTGCGCTGCGCGTGCGCCGCATTTTTGCGGATTCCGCGGAATGTCGACGGTCTTTCCCGAAAGTCGACCTCGCGAACAAAGACAACATCGAGCGCAGTGCGCTGTTTGACTCAACTGTCACACGGCTCGCGCGGATTCTTTGTCGCGCCGGGATTTCACGTTCCGGTGCTAGAATTCGTCACGTTTTCGATGTCTGCAATCGTTCCGAAAAAATTGTCCGACAGTTTGAGAAGGCTTACGTGGCATCAAGAATTCATTCGGGTAAGACTGGCAGTTGAATGCGCGAGCGTATGACCAGCACTCCGGTGCGACAGTCGGAACCTGCGCCGGTTCTCATTGGATTGGCGGTCAAGCAGAAGGGCTTTCGCCTTCGCAGACTGGTGCGCGCGCAAACGATGCCCGCAAGGGGGGGAAAGTAATGCCTCACGCGCCTTCCCCGGCCCCCATTGCTATGGGCTATGGGCCGTTTAGCATCGCCCGTTCATCAGCCTGGCCTTCTTGGGCTTCTGGTGACCGATGCGTCGGACCTGGGCAGGGGCCGGCTTGAGTGCAGGGTATGGGGGAGGAGGGAGATAGTAGGTGGTAGGCGGGGGAGAGAAGGAGGTTATTAGGGACGAGAGGAGGGGGTGGGAGCTGGCAGGGAACTGGGGCTTCTGGTTCTCCAGGCTGCCAGGTGATTCCTGGGGGGCTGGGCCCAGAAGCACCGTTTTCGCAACCGGCTTGGAAAAAGCGGCACGTTCTCCTTATGGAGGTGATTTGGGGGAAGGGGGGGGTCAAAACTTATGATGTTCCAACCTATTTTAGCCGTGATCACCAGAAAGAATTTCGAGCCCCCAAAAAGTAGCGAAACTCAAGGGTTTTCACGTGTCGGGCCCTGGGAGACACTCGTCCGACACTGTTTCGACACTGTTTCGACACTTTTCCGGGTGCTCTAAATTATTTCTGGGATGTGGTCCTGAAGTGCGATGGGGACAACATAAGGCAAAACGTCCGCATGCGCAGGGTGTTCCCCCCTCCCTCCCTCCCCCCCTGCCAGCAGTTGTGGGGCAGGCAGCACGGAGGAGGCACAATGGTCTGGGTAATTCTGTGTTCGCCCCCCCGCTCGTGCGTGATGGGCTTGTCCTCGGGTGGCCCCGCCAGCCCGCGGGAAGGGACGTGGCGCGGCGTCCGGCGAACGCACCCGAATTTGGCGCCAGAAGCAGTCGCTATCCCTGCCGAGCTCGCTCCAGTAATGTCGCCAGCCTCTCAACCCGGCAGCGGAATGGGTTGGCGGGTTGGCGGCCCGTCATGCCGCTCGCTGTCGCCCCGAGACACCAAGACGACCTCGTTCACAGCGCAGCGAGCGGGGATGTGTGCCCTGTGTACGAGTCGTTGTCGGGTTCCCTGCCGTGACATGCCATGATAGGCCATGACGCTGACGTGCCATGACAGGCCGTTATGTGCCACAGGCCGTAGCGCATCATGGCGTGGCTCTACGTAGCGTGTCACAGTCGAGTCCAGCACGTCCACACGCATGAGACCTTGCATGCCTGCGTGCGACCTTGCGTGTCACAGTTCAGTTCAGCTCGTCATCGACATGCGTGTGCCCTTGCACGCATGCACTCGTACACACGCGCGACTGCGCTTGCGTGTGCGCGCATGCCCCCCCCCCTCACCCCACCCCCCTCAGGAAACATGCACGGTGCAGCGATCAAGAACAGCGGGCGCGCGCGCGTGGGGGAGGCGGGACGAATTTGCTCTCCCGCAGGGTGTCGAACACAATCGCGGCTCGTGCCTTGCGGCCTGCGTTTTTGCTGTCCAGCGCGGCTGCGCGAGGGCGTGGAGATGTTCATAACTGCGCGCCGTGCCCCTCGCGCGGCGCCGTATGCGACGTCAAGCGGCCTGGTTCCCTGCTGCCGCGGGCTGCTCGCCGGCCACGGCAGCGGCGGATGGGGCTCCGCGCGCCTTCGCGCGCGCTGTCACGCGCGTGCGCGCTGAGCGGCCCGGCGGGCGGCGCGACCCCTCAGGGATCCGTGGACAAGCTGCCCGCCGTGGCGGACAAGCTGGTGCAGGTCAAGAACAACCTGTCCGAGGATCTCGTGCGGCCTCGGCCGCGGTCCCGGCGCGAAGGGCGGTGGTCGTTCGGCTCGTGCCGAGCGGGGAGGAGCCACGGGGAGGGGAGCAGCAGCATGCGGCGGACGGCGGTGGTCGCGACGGCGGTGGTGATGCCGACGGTGGTGGTGGCGTTTGTGATTGTGGTTGCGCTGATAACCATGATGATACTGCTGATGATGATGAATGTGATGGTGATGATGGTGATGGTGGTGATGATGATGATGGCGATGAGGATGCTGCTGATGATGATGCTGGTCATGATTGTGGTGATGACGATGATGCTGATGATGATGATGATGATGTTGATTATGATGATTGTGATGATTGTGATTATGATTATGACCATGCTGAAGATGATGGTGGTGGTGGCGGCGATGACGATGATGGTGGTGGTGCTGGTGCTGGTTCTGGGTTCTGGTGCGGGTGCGGGTGCTGGTGCTCGCGTTAGTGATGATGTTGATGATGATGTGATGCCGATAACATTGCGCTGATGCTGATGAAGACGATCGGGATGGTGGTTGTGAGGAGGCTATTGATGTTGCGAATGATAATGATGATGCTGTTTTTGTTGTTGATCGTCATGATGCTGATGCTGATGATGATGGTGCTGATGACGGCGTTGATGTTGATACTGAGGATGATGAGGATGATGATGATGATGATGATGGTGGTGATGATGATGAACACAAGTATGATGTTGCTGTTCCTGGTGATGATGATGGTGATGCTGATGACGATGGCGACGACGGCGACGACGACGATAACGAAGACGATGATGATGATGACGATGATGATGATGACGATGGTGACGATGATGATGCTGATGCTGATAACGATGATAATGCTCATGATGGTGATGACGACGACGATGACGATAATAATGATGATACTGATACTGATACTGATGGTGATGTTGTTGAGGCTGATGTTCCTGAGGCTGTGGCCGATGCTAGTGCTGCTGCTGCTGCTGATGACGATGATGATGATGATGATGATGCTGCTGCTGCTGATGATGATGATGATGATGATGTTGATGATGATGTTGATGCTGATAGTGTTGATGCTGATCATGATGCTGATTCGGAGGCTGCTGATGATGATGATCATGATGCTGTTGCTGTTGATGTTGCTGATAATGATAGGGAGGAGGAGGTCGAGGAGGAGGAGGAGGAAGAGGAGGGGGATGGGAAGAGGAGGGGAGAGGAGGAAGACCTCCTGCCTTCCGTTGGCCTGGCATCGTGGCACTCGGCTCGGTCGAGGGTGTGGCCTGCGGGACCCCTGCCCTTCAGGTCGCCCTCTCTCTTCGCAGCTTAGCGCAAGGGAGGGAGGGACGGAGGGGAGGTAGCTCCCTTCCCCGACACCCGTTTTCGCGCTTGATTCCCCTTGGGGTCCTGTTCCAAACGTGCCCCGGGAGAGGCCGGGGGGAGTTGCGTGCCGGCATTTGTTTGTCATTCCAAGCACCCTGCGCTGCGTCCCCCGGGCGGGTCTGGAGGCGAGTTGACGTGTTATTGGCCCGCTCTTCGGCAAAACAGCATGGAGCGCACGGCGTGAGAGAGTGCTGGGCTCGAGGCAGGGCGTGGTGCAGTTGATGTTTTTCTGATACCTTTTCTGGGATCGCGGACAAGCCCCGACCGCCCACACGAGCCAGGGGCTCCAGCAGTGCAGCGTGTTTTGCGCAGTCGTTCTCGGCACGCGCCTGTCTGCTCACGACGGAGTGCGGCGTCGCAGTGGGAAGTGCGAGACTGAGTGCGTCAGCGGCATCTGTGCACCGACTTAGGCCAGTTTGTCTTGATCTGCCTTCCGAAGTGCCGCATCATCCTGGAAGTCTGGCGTCGAGAGTCTGTCTCCGCGCGTGGCTGCTTCAGCTTTGGGCTAAGACGTGTGCCCTTTCAGTCATCGCCCGCCGTGTGACTGGACCAGTGGGCCATGTCAATCTGACCATGCGATTGGTCAATCGATCGAGCTTCATCGGTCAGCAGTCGCATCGTTGTGCGCAGAGTCGTGATCGGGAATGTGGTCGCAGTTTGCTGGCAGGCTGAAGTGTGCGGGCTTCCTGCGAGGCTGTCCGAGGGCTGAGGGGCCAGCGTCCTGAGGGGCCAGGTTTCTCTTCCCTTGCCTTCCCCCTAATGCTGATGGACCTGTTTTCCACCACCACCACAATAAGTTGGAGGGGGACGGAGGTGGAGGATAGGAGGAGGAGGAGGAGGAGGAGGAGGGAGGAGGAGGAGAGGAGTGGGATAGGAGGAGGATAGGAGGAGGAGGAGGAGGAGGAGGAGGAGGAGGAGGAGGACCCCCTCCTCCAACTTGTGGTGGTGGTTGTGGAAGACAGGCCCATCAAACACCCCTCCTGTCCCCGGGGCACTGACACACGATCATCCGTGCTGCCTGCATGGCAGCGAGGGGCAGCGTCCGCGGCGGGAGCCCGCGTGGCATTCTTGCGGCGGGCGGAGGCAGGGCAGGACGCAGGACCGGGGTGGAGGAGGTCCTCTTCCTCCTCCTCTTCCTCCTCCTTCTTCTCCTCCTCCTCCTCCTCCTCCTCCTCCTCCTCCCCCTCCTCCTCCTCCTCCTCCTCCTCCTCCTCCTCCTCTTCCTCCTCCTCCTCCTCCTCCTCCTCCTCCTCCTCCTCCTCCTCCTCCTCCTCCTCCTCCCCTCCCTCCTCCTCCTCCTCCTCCCCTCCTCCTCCTCCTCCTCCTCCTCCTCGTCCTCCTCCTCCTCCTCCTCTCCTCCTCTCCTCCTCCTCCTCCTCCTCCTTCCTCCTCCTCCTCCTCCTCCTCCCCCTTCCACCTCCTCCCCCTCCTCCCCCTCCTCCTCCTCCTCCTCCTCCTCTTCCTCCTCCTCCTCCTCCTCATCCTCCTCCTCCTCCTCCTCCTCCTTCCCGGCGCCGCGTGGACGAGCGGCCCCGCGATCTGCCGAGGACGCGGCGAAGGCGTACCAGGCCTTGCAGATAGCCTTGCAGCGCCACAGTGACCCCCACGGAGCGAGCTCGGCGAGCGGGGGCGGCCAGAGTGCTTGCGCCTCTCGATCGGGCCAGGGGACGCCTTGCCCGCAGCTCGCCCGCCCGTGCCCCATGGACAGTCGTCGGCCATGGTACTTTTCATCAGGGTATCCTGGGTTTCTTCGCTCCTCGCTCTCGCAGCAGTTGAAGGAGCTGCTGCTTTCAGGGTGCTCCAGGTTTCCCCTCAGGTGCACCTCGCGCACGGGTTCTCAGGGTTGGGTTTCTTGCGAGGGTTTCTTGCGGCCGCGCCCGCACTGTAGTGTAGGACGAGGTGTCTGCCCAAGGATGCCCTGCATCCCTTGCTTTTTTTGTCAGTCCTTGGCCGCCGGGGTTGGCCAGCCCCTCAGCACCGCGGCAGTCTGGACACCCAGGGGCCTGGCATCCCTGCCTCTCGCCCTGCGTCCCTGTGATGCGCGGCGACCGTGTGGCCATGTGGGCCCTGGGCTGGGACTAATCTGAGGCCCGGAGTGGGCTCCTGGGGAGGTCGGGGGCGGCAAAGAGGGGGGTGAGGACTGGGAGGTGGATATCATGGCGTGGGCCATGGTATTTCCCCAGATTTCATGGCGCCTCTTCTTATTTCATTACGTCCCTGGCCCCCCCTTGGGCCGCGCACATGTCCCCTCTTGGCCGTCCCCGAGGAGGGGCCACGACGAGGCCACACCGGCGAGCGCTCAGGCTCCGTTTGCGCGGGCGTAGCGTTTGCGCTGGCGCTGCACAGAAGGAGGCCCTCGGCGGGCGGTGGCCGATGGCAGAAGCGGCTGCGCAGGTCCAGGCCTTTGCTGCATGCGGGGCTCTCAGGCAGGGGAGGGAGACACGAGCAGCGCTGCAGCCACCGTTCTGCACACGGCTCCGGGTCCAGGACGCGGTGGGATGCGGGCCCCACTAGCGCCCACGTATCGTTTCGCTGGTCTGTTTGTCTTCGGGGTGGGTCTCTGCGCCTCGGCTGGACGTGGCTCCAAGGGCATCGGAATACCATCGCCCGTGGGGGGAGGCCAGGAGCCGATCTTTGATCTTGAGTGGACGCTGGCCAGGGGAACCCACGTACAGTAGCACATGTCTTTCTCTACCCTTCTTAAGCCCAACAGTCACGGGCAGCTGCCAGAAACTCTGACAGGCCGGGGCAACCGAGGGCGGCAGATCACGGACTCTGGAGCATGGCCTTGTGTCGCCGTCGGAAAATCTACCAACGAGGGGCGACCAACGGTGAGATCTGGTTGGCGGGACCTCACGGAGTTGCCAGGCAGAAAAACATCAGCAGACTCGGGCCAGCCGAGGCCGCGCCGTCCTGGCGGACAGCCCCAGAGGCTCCCACGGGCAGGGGCAGATGGTCCCAAGGGTGAGAGCCCACGGGCGGGTTGCAGCGCGGTCCAGCATTGGAAAACAACGGGCAGACCCGGGGCAGTCAAGGGCAAGGCCTTGCGCAATCACCAGGCAGGCCAAAACGGGGACAGCGGACCCCGTGGAGGAACAGAAAGAAGAGTTTCCACAAGTTGCTCCCCAGGTCACAAGATAGGTGTTCCCCAGGTCCATGTTCTCCCCCCGCTGTGCAAGCGTTTGTTTTGAGAACAGGGGGAAGGCTGGTTCGCTTGAAGCCCCGCTCGCGCCGATGGGTGCACAGGCTCACCTCTTTGAGGCCCATTGCGTTTTGCGATGATCCCGCAGACGTTGGTTTTGACATGCTATGTTTCCTTGTCACCAGGTCTTACCCACATACGTATCCACATATGTGTTGCTATCGTGATATCCCTCTCTCCCTTTCTCTCGCGCTCTCACTCTCCCCATACATGTGTTAGACAGCGTGGACCCCCCACACAGTGTGTGTTTAGCCATCTGAGTGTTGCAGTCTATGTGACGCAATCTATGTGGTGCAGCCTTTGATGGGCAATCTAGGTTGCACAATTCGTGCTGTGCAGAATGTGTTGTTCAGTGAAAGTGGTGCGACCTATGAGGTGCAAACTATGGTGTGCAGCCTATGTGAAGCAATCTCTGCATGTGCAATATATATATATATATATATATATGTACATGATATTATCTACGCTGCGCAATGTTTGGTGTGCAGTATTTGTAACATTATATCTGGGTGATATAATATACACATCGTGCACTCTACGTGGTGTGTCCTGTGTGGTTTAACCAGTGCGGAGCAGTCTGTGCGGTGCGAAACATACTGTGAATACATCGCGTACGGTATGCGTTCGAGCGCGCTCGTGGAGCACTCCCAGAGGGGGGTCCCCGTGCGACCCCTGTGTTTGCTTGGTTACAGCAAGCCTCTGCTGGTAGATTTCCCGATGTTCTCGCGTGCACCTCCATCATCGAATTGCCATGTCCAGCGTGGTCTTATTGCAGGAGGGGGGGGAGGGATATGGAGAAATCCCGAGTGCATTCTCATTGTGTTCGTAGTGTTTTCCGACTATTCCTACTTGTGGAGGGGGAAGGGAGTGCATTCCGATTGCATTCCTATTGAATTCCCGTATGGGAAGGTGGCAGTGAGGGGCGGAGGAATCCCGATTGCATTCCTATCGCATTCCTATCGGAAGAGGAGGAGGATGGAGTGAGGTGGTCATCTTGCTTCTTATTGCAATCCTATTGTAATTGCATTGGTGGAGGCAGGAAGGATGAGGAGGGAGGACGGAGGAGGGGGGAGGGGCAGTGCAAGCTGACCAGGAAAACATGAACAACTGGAAACACATGAAAATATTTAGTTTCGAATGGGGAAATAGGAAGCACAGGGTGCGTGGTTTCTTCCCATTTTTCCCTACCTAGGCTCTGCCTAGAGGGTTCTTACTCTGTTTGCTTAAAGGGGCCGGGCAGTGGGGCTCGCCCAGGGCGGTTCCCCCGGCATCCGCCCCGCGGTTCCCCCAACTACGTCCCCTTAGCTTAGCGTTGCTTATTTTTTTATATTTCATAGATACATGAGCGTGGCCGAAGTTAAGCAAGCAATACCGACAGCGGCGCCAGGCGACATCACCATTTTGAAGAAAGATTTGCCATCAATGAGTCGAGCAAGCGTTCCCCGCCATTCAACATGCTTCAACGAAAAGAACGCAGAGGGCGCGCCCAGCAAGAACCCAGACGTTTGCATAAAACCGCACTCCATCCGACGGCGCGCCCTCCGCTGGTCCCCTCACCCTCCATAGTCTTCTTGTTACGTGCGTTGGCAGGGCGGGCGGTACCACGCCGATCCGCTGGGCTTCCTCAGGAGCCGAACGGCGGCGACAGGTTCACATTTCGCTGCGCAGGTTGTTTTGAGTTGCGCGGGACGCCGCTCCGCTGGGAGCCCGCGAAAGAGGCGACAGCTTCACAGTTCAAATCGCCGGAAGGGTCCCGCGGAAGAGGCGGCAGCCCACGGAAGAGGCGGCACCCCCCCCCCACCCAGGGAGCCTCAGGTGGAGTGGGAGGAGGCCCCAACCCATTCGGACCATTCAGGGACCACTTCGGAATGACTTCAAGTACTGGAAATGGATTGTTCGCAACACGCGCGATTCCTATTTTATTCATACAAAGCGAACGCCTGATTACAACCAAAGAAGTGAATCCCTGAAGATTCTGGAAGGATTTTGGCGGATTCTTGAAGGATTCTTTGCGGATGCTAGAGGATTCCTGAAGGATTCTTCAGGACGGTATTCCCGCGGATTCCGGAGGTTTTCTTGGATTCCTCAAGGATCTGTTGCGCATTCCTGGGGGATTCTAATGGGTTCCTGAAGGATTCTTGAGGAGCATGTCGGATGGATTCTTGAGAATTCTAAGAAGATTCCAGACTATTCCTCAAGGACCCTGCGGATTCCTGAAAAGGGGATTCCTGAAGGATCTTGAGGATTCTCAAAGGGTTCTTCTTCCAGGTTTCTAAAAGATTGCTGAGGTTTTTTTTTTGCGGTGTCTTCAGGGATTTCCCGAAGAGTCAGGATTATAAAGGGTTTTTGCAGATGGCTGAAAGATTCCCGAAGGATCCTCAAAGATTATTGCGGATTCCCGAAGTATTCTTATTGGATGCCTGAAAGAATCGTGAGAATTCCCGAAGGGTTCGTGACAATCCCTGACGGCTTCTGGAGGATGCTGCAAGGATTCGGAAGATTCCACAAGGATTTTTGTTGATTCTTGCATGATTATGAAAGATTGTCGGACGTTCTCAGACGGATTCCTGAGGGATTCCTGAAGGATTCTGAGGACTTGTCTGAAGAATTCTTCAAGGATTTCTGTCGGTTTGTTGAGGGTTACCGAGGGTTCCTGACCGTCATCGTCGTCGCACTGTCGTGCGTGTACGCCGTCGCTCTTGGGGAATTGGAAGATGGGGGGGTGTCGGACGGGGCGGAAGAGGAAGAAGAGGAGGAGGAGGAAGAGGAGGTGGAGGAGGAGGAGGGGGAGAGGGAAAACAGCGGAGGGGGAGGAGGAGAACAATTTGGAGGAGGAGTGGGGATGATGGGGACATTCTGGTGGTGGTTATGATGGTGATGGTGATGTTGATGATGCTGATGATGATGATGGTGGGGAATGGGTGGGGAAAACGATGGGGATTGGGAGGGTGAAGCGGGGCATGGCGGGGGGAGAGGGATGATGAATAAGGAGGAGGAGGACGACGAGGAGGAGGAAGAGAGTCCGGAGGAAACTGAGGGGCAATAAAGAGGAAGATGAGCACAATGAGCATAGATCATGGGGACGAGGCTGAATATGACACTGGTGGGAGCGATTATGGTGATGATGATTATGATGATGATGATGATGATGATGATGATGGTGGTGGTGGTGATGGTGATGGTGCTGATGCTGATGATGCTGATGGTGATGATGTTGGTAATGGTGATGAGGATCATGATGCTGCTGATGATAGTAAGGGTGATGCTGATGATCAGATAGATGGTGGTGCGCAGGAGAGGGAGGATTGTCATGGTTATGCTCAGACTGACGATTCTCATTATGATGCTGGTTATAGCGTCGATGGTGGTGACAGTTCATAAGTTGCCTTTTGTCCATCTCGCCTCCGTGCCGAGGTT